GGGACAATGTTAAACAGTGGGACTTTACCTTAGCACAAGCTGAATTTGCTTATAATAGTTCAGTGAACAGTTCTACTGGAAAGAGCCCTTGTTGGATCGTGTATGGGCGATTTCTGAGTCACATTGTCAATTTCCTTCCCATGTTGGGACAACCTCGTGTTAGTGATGATGCTGTTGCATATGCTGAAAACATCAAGGAAATCCAAGAAACCGGTCCGTAAGAAGTTGACAGTGATGAACCAACAGATATGAGGAAGCTAGCAATCGCCATTGGAGATACAAGGAATATCTAGTTTGAGACCGGGTCATGGTGTTCCTTAAAAAGGAAAAGTTTCCTATTGGTACTTAACACAAATTGAAGAACATAAAGGTGGGTCCATGCAAAATACTATGCAAATTTGGAGAAAATGCCTGTGAACTTAAGCTTCCCCAAGATCTAGACATAGCTCTCATCTTTAATGTTGCTGATCTTTATAGTTATCATGGTAAAGTGGAGCCCGAAATGGAGTTCATCGAAGGAGAGTTGCCGAGAAGTGTCAAGCTCCAAGAATGACTCACACGGTGGTGGGTTCCTTTTAAGGGAAGGAGAATGGCAAAAAAAAGGTTTGGGTTGACAACCCGAGAAGACGACCCAACATTCCTATTCTTTACTTTCTTTTAAGTTGTTTAGTGTTTGAAGGGATTTCAAAATGTTTTGGATCTTTAAGGATTTATTATCAAGTTAAGGGTTATATAGGTATTATTTGGGACTTTTTGGGATTTACTTTTATATGAAGGGTTATATTTGGTATTTAGCAATCTTTTAACTTATGTTGGGATTTAAGGTTTGAGATTAGATTAAATGAATGGCTAGGATTTCGTAGGAGCTCTTACGGTTTCTTAGGGGTGTTTTAGATAGTGGTTTCAAGGGGAAAAGGGGAACTTTTGGTTTGAGAAGATTGAGAGCAAGGCTCCCCCTCTAGCGAGGATGTGAGAGGTTATGTGAGGACATTGAAGCATAAAGCTCTAGATCACCCTCAATCACCTTGTCACAGTGAATCAGCGCTTGAAGACCAAGTGTTTGACGTTTCCTTTGATCAACTGCTGTTCTCCTTTTTCCAGCAAGGATTATATGCATTTATGTAATTTAAATTTGGAAATTGAGGGACCCTTTTGTTTTGAGGAGTTTCTAAATACCCATACTACGTTTTGCATATTTTGTTTTTGTTTATATTGCTCATGCCCTCGATTTACATCAGAACTATTTAGAAGAAATTGTGAGATTTTGATCAGGCAATGGTGAAAGAGTTCGCTCTCGGAAGGATCTTTGGTCAGGGGCTCAAACACTGGCTATCCGGTGGCCTTCCCTTCTAAATTAGCTTATGACCTGAGACCATGGTAGCGCTAGGGTGGCGGAGCGATGAGGGGGTGCAATAAATTGAAACCAACATTCAGAGACCCCTATATGATGATGATGCTGCATTTTTGGGCCAAAAGCTAGTGGCGTTGATGGAGTGCATAGGATCCTTTGGGGCACCCTCCTCCTTGAACCTTTTTCTGTCTCCTCCTACCTAGCACTTAGTCCCCACTCCTCAAACTCCCCTTCCTCAAATAAAGTGTGGCCGATCCAGGTGCTGCATGAAGTCCAACCATTGGATTGCACTATCAGGAAAGACCCTCACTGGTGAACGACTACATTGTAGAGGATTCCAACTGGCCAATCGATGTGTCATGTATCCCCATGGCAAATAAACTTTGGGCCATTTTTCCCTACACTGTGCAGTAGCCTTTTTTCTCTGGTCCTGACTTATTCAGGACTTAGAATCCATTATTCAGATCTTTTGAGCATTCTTATTCCCTACATATTCCAAGGTGGGTATCTTCTTATGGAAAATCTCAGTTATGGCACCTCTGGTCAATATGCATAGAAAGAAATAAGTGAATTTAAGGTACCTCCTCCATCCAAAGCCCCCAGAACCACATTAATTCAGAAACCATATTTTGGATGAATAGTAGCATAGAGCTTCAAATTATTCTTGTCTCAAGCTTCCTTACTAGAATGAAGTATATCCTCCAAATGGAGGGAAATTACAAGTGGCAAACTACCAATGGAGGCTACATCTTCCAAATGGATGCCTCCCTTTTATGGGAGTAGTGAAGCTGAACTTTGACAAAGTTCATTTGACAATCCTAGAGGAGCTGGGTTGGGAGGGTTCATCGAAAGATGATCAAGAAAAGATTTTGCTAAGTTATTCAGGTCCGCCACACGAGTTGCAATGCAAATGAGGCACACACAATCACCTCTCCCTAATATGTAAAGTATACTTGATGCAATTTAAAAAGTTGTTATAACAAATTAAATTGATGGGAAGAATGGGAATCAACATCGAAGTAACATGTATACTCAGATCAAACTACTGCTCATTGGCTTATCTAACTTGAAAAGCTGACATATCCCAATAGATGTGGCAACCAAAACCATATCTTGTTCTGGTTTAGAAATTATGACCAATGAGTTATTTCATTTCATATCTTGGATGATCGAGAATCAATTACTTCTTAAATCAGATTTTAAAGGGATAATTACTTCTCAATGCAACTAATTTACCTCTCAAGGTCTGACGCGAGTGTTTTTTTGCTGGGATTCCACTGACAGGTCTATCCTAAGCTCTTGACTAGGCCTTGGACTTGCAAGGATTGGAGCCACCAAAAACTTAAAATAAATCTGCTGTCAAATACAGCAGGGGCATCCCACTTCCCAACCGATGTGTCTTGTGTATGGCTGCAGAAAAACAAACGGCCACCTACTCCTACACTGTCCCTTTGCTTACAACCTCTGGGGGGTATTCTCAAACTTTTCGACATTCAATGGTTCACACCCGAACATGTCCCGTCCATCCTCTCATCTATCCAGCCCTTCCCTTGGCCCAAACCTGGGATTCTCCTTTGGAAATCCGTGGTGGCGGCAGCCATCTGGGCTCTATGGATCGAGAGAAACAATAAAGTTCTGGGGTGAATACTCTATGTGGAACAAAATATTCACCAAGCTAAAATCCACAGTTGTTTTCTGTGCAACAAATCACCAAAGTTTCAAAGGAGTCACCACCATGGCCTTCTTTCAGGATTGGTCCGTTGTCCTAAGACATAATCGCAAACGCCCAGCCTGGACATTCTGTTGGATTCCCCCACCGCTAGACCATTTAAACTGAACTTCGACGGATGCTCCCTTGGTAATCCAAGTCTTTGGGAGTGGGAGCCATAGTCAGGGACCATTTAGGCAACACGGTAGTTTCGTCTTCCATTTACATCGGCCACACCACCTCTGTGGTAGCTGAGGCCCACCCCCTCTTGGAAGGACTTAAGCTCCTACATACTTTCAGCCTACACACAATCGTGTGATCGAGGGTGACTCACAGAACACTATTCTGTGGGCCCAAAGAAGCCCCTCTTCACCTCCGCCTTGGACCCTAGCGCACATCTTTGATCACATTCATTACCTGTGCAGGGATATGGATGTCTCATGGAAGCATACCTGGCGGGAGGGCAACCAGGAAGCAGACGCCCTAGCTAAAGAAGTGGCTTCACGGGAGGAATTTTAGCAGTTTACAAGTTTCCCTTGCTGGACATTATGGACCACCTTCTTTTATTAGTTGCTGTTTTCACACTGTAACCGTCTAATAGAAGCATTTTGGTCTTCCTTTTTGGTTCTCTTTCCCTAGAGCACCTGACTATGTGGTCTGCCTAGGTTTTTTGTACTGTTCCTTTTTCTCAATTTAAGGTTAACATTCTAAAAAACAAATCATCCATTTCACATAATTCCAAGAACCGGAGTGTATATTTTGACTGTAATCTATATGTTGAAGTGAAGAATCTAGTGACGACATGATCACAGGACTTCAGGAACTGAAGTTATAGTACTGTGCAAGCTGAAGTCCTATCATGGCATTCTGGTAGACTTCTTCGATTGGTCCTCAGCCACCTAAAATTCTTGTTTCCTAAGGTTCTCTCGAGATAAGTTAAATAGAAGATACAAGGCAATTCAAAAGTGAAATTCTTTTTGGTATTGTAGTTGGAATATTCATGTTGTTGCAATGTCTATTGTATGCAGCTCTAGAAACCAACATTATTGTTTACATTCTCAAATTTTTGTTAGACATATGCATGGCATTCGAATTATTGAATTGGATATCTTTTTTTGGTTATATACGTCCAGTTTGTCTTTAGTTATATCTTAGTTCCTATTTATCCTTGCAAAATGTACCAGAATAATTTTGCTTGGGTTGTCATAGTTGTTTGGATCTGTCAACTTTGGTGACAATCCTACTCTGGAATCCTGCACTTCGAAAAAAGAGAACTTTGAGGGATATCGATTTTAAAATTTTATGGATCTTGATCCCCACTGTTAGGGATCTCAATCTTCACCTTAAAGATCAAGATAACGACTAAATTGGTGGTTTTCTTTATTTATAGTCAGCTAGTAATGCAATTGTAACTTTAATACCGTTACATTGCTTGTTGGCTATAAATGAAGAGATCCCCACTTTATGAAGAGATCCCTAATTATATATAGTCTGGACTTTATATACTCTTAAGGTTGGAGCAAGATCCTAAGAACGTTGGGATTGAGATCTAAATAAGGTCGGGATTGATAGCCTCAAAAAGTTGGGATCGAGGCTCATAACATTTGGGGATCTTGATTCTAACTTATGCATTTTATGGACCATGCTCCAAACTATAGGGATCTTCTAGCCTTTCACGATCCCTTGTTCCCGTTTCTGATCCTCCCGATCCCTACAACTACAGTTGCTATAATGACTTCCAATGATTTTTATCGTTGTATCATTTGTTATGCAGTCAAATAATTTGTTGCATCTATTTCCAACTTCAGATTTTATTCCATTAATGAAGTTCCAATTCAAGTTTTTCTGTCCTGTTGTCTGCTAAATTTTAGTGACTTGTGCCTTCTGTCTACTCCTATTTGCTGAAATGTTGTGGTGCTAATGATGTGCTTATACATGCAGGTTTGTCGGTACCGTCTCATTGAGGATGAATTCAACTCACCTATTCTGACAGAGGTTCAAAAATATTTAACTGATGAAGATTATAGGTGGATACCAACTTTGTTAATCTTTCAATTTTAAATGTCATGGAAGTGGTATGACACTGGTTAACATGGCATTTGCCTGAGGCTACAATGTTGCAGTGTTGCTGTTGGCTTCTATGTTCTCCTTCGGGCTGTTGATCGCTTCACATCCAATTACAATAGATTCCCTGGTCTTTTTGACGGGTATGTATTGTTTATGTGCTAGTTATTGGTACTTCCAATTTAAACCTACCACAAATGTGTTTGGCTAACTTTGTAGTGACTGCATGCTCATTATTGCTACTTTCAAATCAAAATCTTACTAGAATTTTCAGCCTTTGGATAACTTTCTAGTGAGGTGCTGTCCTGCAGTGAGATGGATGAAGATACATCTCGATTGAAGACCATAGCTGTTGGTATCCTAAATGACATGGGTTGCAATGGTTCAAGCTTATCTGAGGACCTTATAAGTGAGATGTGCCGGTATGGTGGTGCGGAGCTCCATACAGTAGCAGCTTATATTGGAGGAATAGCTTCACAGGAAGCAATTAAGGTTTGCTTTCTTAGCTCATCAGACAACTTGCTGCTGCTTTTGTTTAGTATTCATTGCCATAATGAGAACACATGCTATTTGCTTGCTTTCTGCAGCTTATTACAAAGCAGTTTATTCCACTAACTGGGACATTCATATTCAATGGCATTGATCACAAGTCTCAGTTGCTGTTCCTGTGATCTTTCCACTTCATAGTTCTTTGTGAACTGTTGGTTAGTTCGCTATGCCTGTATAATACTGAGGTCCTTTTCGTTTGTTTATTGTGGGTTGTGTATACGTTTTCATTGTATGGGCTTCCTATAGTAATGTTCTCTTATGTGCTTCCAAGTGAAAACTGACTGGTTTTCTGCCTTATGGCACTGCATTTTACTGCAGATCACGTCGAGATTTGACTGGAGAATGTGTTTTTGCTACAATTAGTATATTTTAGTAGTGCAAAGAGGCAAGGTGAGCCACAAAGATAAAAGACGTTATTGCTTTTCTCTGGCCACCGAGGCTGCAGATAGCTTTGGATTTCTACAAATTTTTATTCTAAGGCGACTTTACAAATTTTCTTTTTCATTATCTATATGGATGGTATGATTAATGATATGCGTTGTAATTACCCCCACAATTTTACATTACTTGTAAATACAATGATTGAATTGTAGTTAATGGCTTTGATCTTCTATACTCGACTTTGATGTACATTATCAAAAAAATGATGGGAAGTATGGATGTAGTTCAATCGCTTGGCCAACCGACGATGTTTTCTCTCTCACATGCGTGCATACACACACGCATAAATATGATGGAAGATGAGTGGTTAGGTCGCTTGCTGACTAGCATCACTCTCTCTCTCTCTCTCGTTCAATAAACGAGATCAACAAAGAGCACAGGCAGAGTATTTGGGTAAATCTAGAAATAAAAGTCAAGTAAATTTATGTACAGTGGGGTATATCTAACTCCCGGCTGGGCAGGCTATAACCACGACAATCTTCAAAGTATGCACTACCGTTGTCATTCGGTCTTTTGAGAAAGTTGTTATATATTCAGTTCCACAACATTTGGAAAAGGACCCAGTTTATGTGGCCAAGCCCGCATATGTAGAAATGAGGGCCTATTAAATAAATCTATTTCTGAGATGGCCTTTTCGGACTTTAATTTGTAAGGACATGTAATCTAGATCATGAATATGAAATGATAAGTAAATTTAAAAAACTAGAAAAAATAATATAGTAAAAAAACATTTGGACCGATAGTTTTCATTGTTTTTAGATGGAATACCTACTTGCATCCATATTTAAGATGGTTACTTTACATTTTTTGGACCGCATGAAACAAATTTTTTTTGAAAAAAGCTCAAATAAGTTCCTCAGATCTGTACCATTTGTTTTTTCGTTTGCCAGCATTGGAAAGTACACAGCATGAAGTCTTGCAAATCCATCGTTGACAAGACTAACCAAATTTATACCAAGGAAACTTGCGAACTTCTTGATCCTTAGTCTCACTTTTGCTCACCTCATGCCTTACTCTAACCCCAAATCATTTGTACCCTGTTTGAAAACTACCCTCTACAAGAAAGTAAGACTAGAGAGATCACAATTGAACTTCCCCTGCGAGCAACCACTAAAATAAAAGAACAACTGGACTTTGTCATATGAAGTATCATTTGCTAACCAAAAAAGCAAAGAGGTTTGGGTATCAAAATGCTTAATAACATCAGCTACTCATATTGGTTGAACTTGAATTGGAGTTGTCATTCCTTATATTTTGATGTGTAGGTGACATGGGATTATTGATTATAGGAGTACTCTTGATTGCATCTGATCAGAAAAATTTAAATACAAACAAAATTTTCAACCGAACAGTATAAAAGACAAAAAGTTTGTGCTGATAAAATACATGCTTTCCAACGCTTTATGATTGTAACCAAATTTGATGCCCAGCCCCAAATGCCACTCAAGTTGGCCACAGACCTGGACTTGGACCTAGGTTGTCTTGTTGTCGGGCTTGTAGACGCTGTAATCCCCAAATTCACGTCGGCCGCTGTCAAAAGTAGTTCCAATTAGGTTTTGACTTGTTACTACAAGGATGTCAGACAGCCAGATGCACCAATGCAGTAACATTCAAATGAGAAAAGTCCCTATTGAAATCTCCCAAATAATACCACTTTTTCCTAGTACCATTGTTCCAAATGCAAAAAGGGACTCCACTAAGATTACAGTTTGAAATAAAAGATTGGCCAAGAGTTTCAACCACAAACAGCTTTTATGGATCATTAAGTCTACCGGGAATTGTAACCAAGCGGTGAAATTTGGTATGGTTTCATCTCTGTTGTGATATTGCAGATCATGTGAATTTTGAAGATTAATTTGGCTATAAAGAAACAAGAAAAGTTCCCTGGATGCTTCTGAAGTAAAATCATCATATGGCAGAAGTAGGAAACTTGTAAATGTGTTCACAAATCATTTACATTGAAATTTGACCTAAGTGAATAAAAACACTGCAAATAGTCAAAAGATCATGCATCTAGTTTTTGTTGAAGAGTTTAATAAAAATTATATAGAAAAATAAGGAACAAGATAGTCTGAAAACTCAGTTCGTGCACACTTATAAACTCAAGTAATTGAATTGGGATCCAGAATGTAATTTTGTAGGGGTAAGCAGCTCATAAAACCTCATCTCCACTAATACTTGGAGGATTTGGAGTATGAACACCTTATCATTTATAGTTCAGATGAAGAAATATCTACAGCGACTGAAGGAAGATCAACATTTTTTTCTCTAATAAAAAGATTGTGGATATTCAAAAAAGAACTAAGGTAAAATTCAATCAGCCTCGTACTATGATATTGATGTTTAGGGAATAGCTCAATATTAATGCCTTTCTAGTACCAGTGAAATATTTGGGTAAAGTGATTCTATGAAGAAGACCCTAAATAGGTCAAGATAATGCACAATTCTCTGACTGGACACATCATAAGTCAATGAAAGGCTAGATCTTGTTCAGTCCATCCCATGGGATTCCCTGTTGAAGCTTGAGGAAGTCAACTTCCTGAGCAATGGTCTAGATAGAATGCCTTGAAAGAGCATCCTCAAATCTATCTGTGAAATATTAGGTTGATTGGATAAGAGTTTTCAAGATTCTCTAAGTATTCATGCACTTGAATAAGTTGTTAATTGTTTAGTGAAGTTTCTGGTTTGAGTAAACTTCTTGAACAATAGTCTCAATAGAATCCTTGTCTCTTAACCCTTTGCCTAAGGGGCAGAACGATAGGTGATAAAGCATTTGAAGGGTAGCCAATAGGGCCAAATTGTTTAAACGGACCTTATGAAGTGCTGCCCTTAAGTACAATATGTAGTTGTTGGGAGCAGGTTCAGAAGGGGGAACCTTGGGATGAGCCCGTGGCTTAACCTCTCTACCTTGGGAGAGTGGTTCAAGAAGTGACCTCTAATGAATATCTATATATATATATATATATATATATATATATATATAAGTAAAGTAGTCGATAGTAGTAATTCGTTGTTTCGCTACTTCTTCTACTACTAACAAACTACTATACTCCTACTAACTAACCAAACCAG